CATTGCCTCAGCCTCCCCGGTGCTTCCTGTGCTTGCGATGCAGCCATGGTTGTGACTCACGTGCCCCGGAAGTTTCTGGGTCTTCCTCGGTCTGGATGGCTTATTGGTGGCCAAGATGCAAGAGCCCAAGCTCACTTCTGTGGGCCTCTCCACGGGGCTGCTTTGCAACATGGCCCATGGCTTATGAGACAGAGAGAAAAAGGGAGAATATGAATCTTAAGATGGAAGTCATAGTCTTTTTTAAAATTCACTATATTTATTATTATTATTATTATTTAAAATATATTTTATTGATTTTTTTACAGAGAGGAAGAGAGGGATAGAGAGTTAGAAACAGCGATGAGAAAGAATCATCGATTAGCTGCCTTTTGCACACCTCCCACTGGGGATGTGACCACAACCAAGGTACATGCCCTTGACTGGAATCAAACCTGGGAATTTCAGTCCTCAGGCTGATGCTCCATTCATTGAGCCAAACCAGTTTCCGCATCACTTTATTTTTTAAAATATATTTTATTGATTTCAGAGAGGAAGGGAGAGGGAGAGAGAGATAGAAACATCAATGATGAGAGGGAATCATTGACAGGCTGCCTCCTGCATGCCTCCTATTGGGGATGGAGCCCCCAACCAGGGCATGTGCCCTTGACTGGAATCGATGGGTCCACAGGCCGATGCTCTATCCACTGAGCCAAACTGGCTAGGGCTGTTCACTTGATTATTATTAGTTTTGTAATCCATGTCCTTTAAATGTTCAGTAGTTATTCTATGGTTATAACATTTTTATTGCTATCATATTTTTTCATTACATTATCTGAATATAATTTACTTTACAGTTTGTCATCAAAAGGTACTGATTTCCCCAGTTTTATTGAGATATAATTGACATATACCATTGTATACGTTTAAGGTGTACAACATGATTTGATATATGTATGTATACTAGTATATTGTGAAATGATTACTGCAATAAATTTAGTTAATATCCATTGGTTGATATAGTTATAAATATTTTTCCTTTGTGATAAGAACTTTTAAGATCTGCTTTCTTAGCAACTTTCAAACTTTCTAGTTATAAGATAAATAAGTTCTGGGGATGTAATGTACAACATAACTATAAACAACAATACCATATTGTATAGTTGACTTTATTTTCTAGAATAGTTTCAGATTTACAGCAAAACTGAGAAGATAATACAGGAGTTCCCATTCTTGCATTAGCTTGGTACATTTGTTATAATTATTCAGGAACAAATGTTGATACATTATTATTAAACAAATTTGGTCCCCAGCCCATCCTTTATTCAGAATTCTTAGTTTTTACAGAATGTCCTTATATCTGTTCCAGAATCCCATCCATAATAGCACCTTATATTTCACCACCATGTCTCCTTAGGCTTCTCTTGGCTGTGACAGTTTCCTTGTTTTGAATGACCTTGATGGTTTTGAGGAATTACTGGTCATGTACACTGAGTGGCCATGTTATTATGATCTCTGAACGCATAATAATCTGGCCACTCAGTGGATATCCTATATAATAAAAGGCTAATATGCAAATTGTCCCCTAGACCAGGAGTTTGACCAACAGGCAGGCCAGCCAACCACCCATGACCCCTCCCCCTGGCCAGGCTGGCCAGACTTCACCCATGCATGAATTCATGCACTGGGCCTCTAATACACACACACACACACACACACACACACACACACACACACACAGAGTGGCTATATATATATATATATATATATATATATATATATATAATTATAACCATAGAATAACTACTGAACATTTAAAGGACACGTATTACAAAACTAATAATAATAAAGTGAACAACTCTAGCCAGTTTGGCTCAGTGGATAGAGCATTGGCCTGTGGACCCATCGATTCCAATCGAGGGCACATCATCTCCAATAGGAGGTGTGCAGGAGGCAGCTGGTCAATGATTCTTTCTCATTGATATATATATATATATATATATATATATATATATATAGAGAGAGAGAGAGAGAGAGAGAGAGGTCAGATTATTATGTGTTCAGATATTATAATAATCTGGCCACCCAGTGTATTTTGTATAATAGGGCTGAAGTTGCTTTACAAGCTACTCTTTGAAGTGAGGTCTCATCACTCTAGCTATCCTCCGTTCATGAAAAGCAAGTACTACTAAGTCTCTTGAGGAGAAGAATATAAAGGAATTTGTGGCTGTATCTTTAAAACCCCCATAGCTTGCCAGACACCACCCCAGAGTTTCTGATTCAGTAGGTCTGAGACGGGGGTCCAAGAATTTGCTTTCTAACAAATTCCCAGGTGACACTCCTACTGTTGGTCCAGGGATCTTGCTTTAAAAGCCACTGGAAGTGGGGCCCCTGGGCAAGACTTTGGTGTGTGCAGGAATCAAAAGAAGTTCATCAAGATCTATTTATTTCTCTCAATACCTTTCTCTTATAACTACAACTCTCACTGAAAGCAACCCACTAATTTAGCGTCTGGATATTGCCAATTCACACCAAACTATTAGCTAAAAATATATGTGTTGCTTTGTAAAACAGGTACAACAATATCTTGTGTTTATATTAGATATGATTATTTCATTTGATTGTCACAAATGCCAGGGAGAGAAATCAGGTATCTTCATCTGATATAAGAGGTAACTGGGACACCGAAAGTCTAAGTGACTCGCTTAATGCTAAAACCAAGCTTGGGTCTGGGTCATTTGAGCACAATTTCTATTATAATTATTCCCAACTTCTAAGATTTGCCACTTTTTGAACAATCAGTAAAACTAGCCACATGACAGTTTAGGTCATCAAATCAACAGAGTCCATATATTTAAAGTGGCATTTTGTGTAGTGGAAAAGGAAGGAGTGAAACAAGTGATTTTGAAGCTCAGAAACATCAACAGCATTTGCAGCTTAAGTTGGAAAAGCCTTCCCCTTTACCAATATTCAAATTCTTCCTGCTCACTGACTCCCACAATAGTCAACAAGTATACGCTGCCTACAGGTAGCATCTAAGAAAGTCACTGGAGGAACCACATGCCCAGGGCCTGCTCACATGCACCAACAGGATTGCTTAGCTCTGCTAGCAAAGCTCCTGGCTCAGTGGTTGAGCGTCCACCTGTGAACTAAGAGGTCACGGTTCGATTCCCAGTTAGGGCACATGCCGGGTTTGTAGGCTCCATCCCCAGTGTGGGGCCTGCAGAAAATGGAGAGAGAAATAGAAATGTCAATGATGAGAGAGAAGATTCTCTCTCATCATTGACATTTCCATTTCTCTCTCCATTTTCTTCCCTTTCTAAAATAAATAAAAATATATTTAAAAAATAAAGAGGTTACTAATTTCTCTTTCAGGCTCTGGTTTGAATGGAAAGACCTTGTAGTCCATATACCACACCACCACCAAGATGTCTTGAAAATCTAGAAGTGGAGAAGACCATTGAATATCTTTGAGTGTATGGATTAGAATTGAATGCATAAATCCCAATTCGAGGCACAAAAGCTAAGTAGCTACACACCAATAATTCTATTCAGTGAGAAAAAGTCTAATCAGACCAAAGAAGTGATTTCTAGCTACTTTTTTTTTTTTAGCATTCCTTAGAAAATATTCAGCCTTTAATTTTAATTGATGTTTACACGTTGCCAAAAAATAAAATAAGGCTTGGTGCAAATGGTTAAAGTAAGCAGTACTTCATATATTCACATTAGGACGTAACGATTTCATATACTGAACCCTGAGTTCAAGTTCACTCTTCTGTAGACAAAGAATACCCAATACACAGTGTAAGCATCCACTTCTTTCTCAAAGTAGTGGTGCTACTGATGGGGAAACAAAAATCAGAGTGAGGAAGCTGTCCTGTGGTGATGAGGGTGTAAGAAAGGTAGTGCCAATGACCTTAAATTTGATCCTTTCAACCCTAGTGGAGGCGGGGGCATGAAGCAGAGAGCCAGTGACCTTATAATTAATCCTGCCCAAATGGTATTGGGGGAGTGTGCACAAGGATCAGAGGGGAGAGGCACAAAACAGAGTGTCAGTGACCTTAAATTTGATACCATCCAACGGTGGTGATGGTGACAGTGACTTAACTTGTCTAAAAGTCTTGGCCCCGTGGGGGGGGAGGGAGAGGTGGTTGGGGAGCAGGAGCCACGGGCCACCAGGCAGAGCCTATGACCTAACAATCCCATCTAAAGGTGTTCGCAAGAGTGGGGGTGGGAGGGATGGAAGGGGCGGGGCTCGAGGGGGGGGGCACGAAACAATGGGTCAGTGACATTTCAGCGAATCATGTCCAATCGCGAGGGGCGGGAACGAAGCAGAGCCAGTGAGTTCACATTTGATTCTGCCCAAAGGTGGTGGTGGTGATAATGGAGGGCATGAAACAGCTACTGTAGGTAAGTGGCAAACAGAACCTGAGCGTCAAAGTGTGGCGATGTAAGGGACACTTAGAATCGCGAAGGCCAGCCTCCAGGGAAGGCCTCCCGGAAGAGGTACCTTCGCTCGAGAGAGGCCTGGAGCGGCGTGGAGGGTCGGATTCCTGACGTGGGCCCAGGCCTTCTCCCAATCCTCCTGCACCTCCGCCACCTTTCGGCCACTGAGGCCCCAGTTGGGGGCGGGACGTGCGGGAGCAGCTCTCGCCAACTCGGCGGAGACGCGGGAGCGAGGGAGGGACTGGCGCCCCGTCACTTAAGAAAGCGAAGGCGGCAGCGGCCAATCAGCGGCCACCGCGCTCCTCTAGCCCCGCCCCTCCGCTCCCCTCCGGCGCCGCGTACGTGCGGCGGCCGGCTCCGCCCCCTGTGGGCGGGGCCTGGGGAAGCCGCGGGCGGCGCGCCGTAACCCGAGAGCGGTTGGTGCTGCTGCTGCCGTTGCTGAGGTAGCTGCATCCCCGCGCCCAGGCCGAGGCGGAGGCTTCGCGCTTGGCGAACGTGACCGATCGGCGTCTCTCGGCTGCCCCGGCCCCTCCGGCCGCCTGAGTGTCTCGGCTGCTGTGTGCGCTGTCCCGGCGAGGATGCGGCTGTTCCGGTGGCTGCTGAAGCAGCCGGTGCCCAAGCAGATCGAGCGCTATTCCCGCTTCTCCCCGTCGCCGCTCTCCATCAAGCAGTTCCTGGACTTCGGTAAGTGCGGGGTCCCGAACTCTCAGGGTCGCCACCGTCCCCTCAGCCCCGGGGCGCGGGGCCTCTGTCTTCCGGGCCCTGTGTCGCCGCAGGTCTCCTCAGCCGAAGTCGTGGGAACCGCAGGCGGGGCTCCGGGATGCCCGGGGGCTCTTGCAGGGGCTCGGATTTCGGGGTTCGCAGGGACGAGGCCTGGTACACAGGTCGGGGGCCTACCCGTAGACACAGAACCTCATCCCGGGCGGGACTCCCTTCACCCCCAAACCTGCGTGTTTAGCTTCAAATCGACTTGGTACAGAACCCCCCCCCCCCCCTTAGAACTTCCCAGCGGAATGCGGATGGCTTTTGAAGTTTTTATTTTTAGATTCTTTTTTTTTTGGGGGGGGGTTGGGTAAGAGCTGTTTAGAAACACCTTGAGGTCGTCGAAGTTATGCAATGGCATTTTGTTTTGTTTTGTTTTGTTTCTTTCCTGCCGTAAGACAGTGCTCGCGCGGGGCTCGAGCCGCAGGATTCGAACTATTGTCTTCTTCGTGTTTTCGTTCAACAGTTAAGAGAGGCCTGGGCTGCGCGGCCGCCCCGCCGTAGGTGCTGGGGAAGGGGGACGGCGTGGGGTGCTTCTCCTCAGAGCAGGGTCCCATACAATCCAGGCACCTTTGGTTGCGCCTCAACTTTTGTGTCCTGCCCCCCTCCTTCTCCCCCGTCGGTTGGGCCGGTGGGCGGTTTGCACCGGTTGAGGTGGGAGCCCAAAGCCCCTCCCCAGCTCCCGCCCCCCCCCCCCCCCCCCCCGCGCCTGAGGCCTAGCTGAGGTGGGAATAGATTCCACCACCTTATGCTAATTGGATCGTGTTTCCCCGGAGTGGTGCCTTTTCAGTCGCTGAGCAAATACTCCTCTCATTGCTGAATGCCAGGGGGAGGGGGTTGGTGGTGGTTTGTGAAATACCTGAAAGGAAGCCCGCAGTACTAACCCAGGCATCGGAATGGAACTCTGGCATCCTTGGAGCAGCACAGATGTTCTAAGCTCCCAAGGGGAAAGATTCATTATTCACATTGGTTCATTCCATACATTTTCTGTAAACATCAGGGGTTGATATCATAAAAACTGAAGTGTGGAGTAGGTGGAATACCCCGGGAAGACCCAAATGTACAGAATGTGATGTCCATGCTTACGATGAATAGGAAAGAGGAATGGGGTAAAGTTGCAATAACATTAAATTTTAAGAAACGAATTTTCAGCCCCGGCCAGTTTGGCTCAGTGGATAGAGCATCGGCCTTTGGATTGAGGGGTCCCAGGTTTGATTCTAATCAGGGGCATGTGCCTTGGTTGGGGGCACATCCCCAGTGGGAGGTGGGCAGGAGGCAGCTGATCATGTTTCTCTCTCATGGATGTTTCTAACTCTCTGTCCCTTTTCCTTCCTCTCTGTAAAAAATCAATAATAAAATATATTTAAAAAAAGAAACCAATTTTCAGAGAATGATGAGGAAAATTAAAGTTCAATGAGGTGTTGACTGTTGGATCTTAAACTTCACTCCCCAAAACTTTGCAGTAGTTTTAGTACTTTACCATATCTGGCCACTTGTGCGAATTTTAGAGGTTTGAGGCAACTTCTGACTTCAGAGTTTAGAAAGGAAACGTCACGGTTGCTAGAAACAGCATGTTTGCCATCTTTTAATTTATGGTTTTGAGAAGATTCTGAAGGTGGCAGCCTTCTATTAGGGTAAACTGAACCAGGCTACTTCACAATAAACAAAAGAAACCCCCAAACTCCCAGTTCCTCCTTTTCCCCTCAAAGTTGAACCAATAGCTCTAGTAGATTGGTGAAATTTTGCTTGATTTATTTCTAGAGTAGCTAATATCTCTACCCATGTTCATAGGTGTCTTGGCAAGGATTGGTATTTGAGTAGAAAAACCACAGAGGGGGATAGTGCAGTATGGAAAACCCATGGGACCAGTATCTGGAAATTAATATCCCAATTCTTGCTCTGCCTTGGCTAAGGGACTGAACTGGGGTTCATTTTCCTCATGCATAACATGTGTGGATTATACCAGGTAATCTCTAAAGCACAGCTTCAAAACTCCGCGATTGTAATTTCAAAGGAAAAGTGACAAGCTTTTGAAAAGAAAATTACCTAGCCTTTTAATGGACAGTTCACGTAAAGGCCTCTGACCTGTTTTGGGAGGGGTGGCGAGATAGACTAATTTAGGATACTGGAAGAAGCCTAGTAATTGAAGTCTTTTCCTTATAAGGAATTTCTGAGAAGAGCCATACGGAATTGTACAGGAGTGGAATTCCTTAGAACCTAAAGCTTGTTTGTAATACCCAGAGATGAATTGGATGGCCGGCAGCTCACTTTAGATGATAAAAACTAGAAGAGAGTTGTCACACAAACACCCATCTCAAAGAATACCTTCTATCTGTTCTTCTAGCTCCTGAAAGAAGCTAGAAAGTCATACAGCTAATTCCATTTTAGCAAGTGATAGGGGAGCTTTAGAATTTAGAATGGGTGTGGGGGTATTTTTAAGGTGGGGTGGGAGACATAGAGGCTTTCTGTGTATGATTACAGAAAACTGCAGGGGAGGGCACCTCAAATGCTTCAGGGACTAGGAGGGAAGGGGCAAATGAGTCAGGTAGGGGCAGACTCCCAGGTATATGCTCCAGAAGGGGCAGCTGGTTGGCACCAGTTCAATATATAGAGGAAGAAAGAGGATTTCAGAGAGGAAGGAAGAGGGAGAGATAGAAACATCAACGTGAGAGAGAATCATGGATGGGCTGCCTCCTGCACACCCTCACTTGGGGACGCGGCCTGCAACTTGGGCGTGTTCCCTGACCAGGATTTGAACCGTGACCTCCTGGTTCCTAGGTCCATGCTCAACCCCTGAGCTATGCTGTTCTGGCAGTTCAATATATTTTTTAAAAATTTACAGGTCCAATGAAATAGATGGGACATGTTGACCCACTCTGCCATTTTGTGAACTTTATGACCTTCTCCCTGGCTACTTGACAAAGGGGACATAAATGTTTGACTAGAGTAACTGGACGGGGCCAGAGAAAGGACATACACAGAATGGTACGCACCAGTATTTGTTAGAACCATGTCAACAAGTATATTCTTGCTTCTGTGGCCACTGGAACCGCTTTATTATACCAATTCCTTGTTTCAGAGTGAATGCTAGAACTGGTGGTTGTTTCAGAAGCAATGCTTTTTTATTTTATTTATTTTTATTAAATTTATTGGGTTGACATTGGTTGAAACCTATATGATCTTACTAAGCAGCGGTTTTATTTATTTATTTATTTATTTATTTATTTATTTATTTAATATATTTTATTTGATTTTGTACAGAGAGGAAGGGAGAGAGATAGAGAGTTAGAAACATCGATGAGAGAGAGTCATTGACCAGCTGCCTCTTGCACATCCCCCACCGGGGATATGCCCGCAACCAAGGTACATGCCCTTGACCGGAATCGAACCCGGGTCCTCCAGTCCCCAAGCCGCCGCTCTATCCACTGAGCCAAACCGGTTTTGGCATCAGCGGTTTTATTTTTAAAGGAAAATCTTGGATGGGCTGCCTCCTGCACGCCCCACACTGGGGATCAAGCCCACAACCTGGTCATATGCCCTGACTGGGAACCAAAGCGTGACCTCCTAGTTCATAGGTCGATATCAACCCCTGAGCCATGCCAGCTGGGCTCTTTGCCCATGAAAATGATAAAAGTTTCTCGAACTCAACTTTAACTTGAAATATGTCCTTCCATACAGCAAAGTGTGGGAAGAACAGCAAGTGGTCTAAATGGATCAAGAGTTTATAATGGCAATGGTGCACTCTAAAGGACAGGATTTTAAAAAATGAAATTTTCTTTGAGGTCTGAGATTATAGTCACGTGGTTCCAAATTCAAAAGGTGCAAAAGGACATAGAGAAGTCAGTTTTCCACGTTAGGCCGCTAACCTCCCTGTTTGTGCGCCAACAGCAGCTTATACTTTTGTTTGAACTTGTTTATTAAACTGAAACCTTACAGAGCTTTCCATAGTTGTATCAGCAGAATTTCTTTTTTATGGCTTTGGAGAATTTATTTAGTTAAAGTGTTCTATATCATTCATTAGCCAACTCCTTGTTGAAGGCTAGTAGGTTGTTTTGAATCGTTGCTATGACAATCAGTACTACAATGAGTTATGGTGAGCATGTGGTGCATGTATGAGTGTGTATATATAGGACACATTCCTAAACATGGGATTACTACATCAAAGGACATGTGCACTGGAACTTTTGATAAACATTGTCAACCTGCCTTCCTTAGAGGTTGTCTGTTTTATCTTCACTAGAAGCTTGAGAGGTCCTATTTTCCTACACATTAACCACCTTGTCACACTTTGGATAAATGGAAAATGGTGTCTAGATAGCATTTTAGTTTAGCTTTTTATTATGGAAAATTTTAAATACATGCAGAAGTAGAAAGAATAGAGTGATGAATACCTGGGTTCATTGTATTGCTATCCAGGTGCTGTATGTCTGCAGATGTTGAGCGTATGACCATCTCTTAGATTTTTTTTTCTTTTTAAAAAATATATATTTTACTGATTTTTTTACAGAGAGGAAGGGAGAGGCAGAGAGAGTTAGAAACATTGATGAGAGAGAAACAACTATCAGCTGCCTCCTGCACACCCCCTATTGGGGATGTGCCTGCAACCAAGGTACATGCCCTTAACCAGAATCGAACCTGGGACCCTTCAGTCCACAGGCCGACACTTTATTCACTGAGCCAAACCAGTTAGGGCTGATAGATTTTCTTATCAATGTCATGCTTGTTTTAGAAAAAGTAATTTTCTTCTATATTAAGACCAATTTATCTTTCTAATCTGTTCTTTAAAGATTAGTTAGAATTCTCTCCCCTCCTCCCCCCCACCCCAAACCTTTTAAATCTAGTTGTTTTGGGGTCTATTGTTTTTGGACCACTTTTGGTATTGATCTGTATAGGTTTTCTGTTTCTTCTAGAGTCCATTTTGA